GTTGAAGCTCTAGCCATGGTTGAAAGCCCATGGTTCAGCTCATGGCTGGAGCTCGTGGTTGAAGCTCACGGTTGAGCTCATGGCTGAAGTCATAAAGGACTGGGTTTCTTTTTTTCCTATTCAAATAGAAGCCCATGGTTGAAAGCCCCTGGTTGAAGCCATGGTTCAGCTCATGGTTGGAGCCCATGGTGGAAGCCATGGTTGAGCTCAACCTAATGGTCGCGGTGCCCGGCTGCTCATYCCTCTTCCCCATTTGTGGTGAGTAATAGAGTGAAATGGATCCATGGGCATGAAAAGAGGAAAAAAATGTTTAGGATGATGCCCCAGATGGAAATAYTACGCTGGTCTCAGCCCCCGTTGCTTCTGCTGTGGGGAATATTAATCATGGGTTGCCCAGGGCACAGCAGCTGATCCATCCCCATCCAAGGAGCTCGTGTCCCCTGGTGGGAATGTCAGGGTTTTCCCCTGTTTTTTCCAGGGTTTTTCCGGCAGGGGCTGCGCTACCGTTTGAGGCTGGACGAGAGCTGCCACACGTCGTCGGGGTCCATGCCCGTGGGATCCTTGCGGTGGGCCACGAGGAAAATGCTCTTCTCTTTGTACGAGGTGTAAACGGTGAGGATCCCCATCATCACAAAATACGTGCGCCAAGTTAAGGAAAGCACGAGGGGCATCGGAAAAAGGAAAAGGGGCAGCGGAAAAGGGGCAGCGGAAAGCGGGCAAGGGAAACGCTCGGGGTTGCWGTCGTTTTGGGGAGCTTTGGGCACCTGGGCAGGGTGCAGGGCTGGTGTCTCRGCAGGGAAAGCTGTGTCGGGTGTGTGTGACACCGGTACAGGGTTGTGCGACTGTACAAGAGCGCCTGAAGGGAACAGAGAGGGTGACAACACCCTAGACGCTTCCCTGAAGGCCATTTCAGAAATAGCCTCATAGAAAACCTAAAAATCATGCAGGAAAGTCACCTCCCTCATTTTTGAGGGGAGCAGCAGCTGTAGGAGAGAGCTGGAAAATGTGAGACTGACTCACAATTAAGGACTGTGCATTTCTACTGAGCACAAGGCAAGCAATTAATTTATTAATCCCCCCCTTTCTTTTTTTTTGGAATTAAATCCCACTAAGTGCTGCAAGAGGAGTCACCCAATGTTCATGCTGAAAGCCAAAGGGAGAGAAAATGTAGCTTAAAATGACAAAGCTACCTGATGATACAACTGTGAGTGGAACAGAGGCTCCCAGCTCTGCGTGGGGCTTCCAGGCGATTGGGCCAAGTTTCCTCTCCGATGGCAGGATCCAGTGGTTCCTGGGAAACTCTGTGGCACATAGGGATGTTGCAAAACCTCTACAGATGTGTGTCTGGCTAGAGGAGATGCAAAAAAAATGGGGGCTTGTAAAGCTGGGAGCCCCAGCTGAGAGAAGCAGCTGGGCTGTGGTGCTGAACACACAACTGTGAATATTTCTTGGGGTTTTGGTGTTTTTACGCACTGATCTGTGGCAATTCAGCATCTCTTCCTCTTTGCGGGTTGGTAAAAATTACTCCCACTTCCACTTCTCACTCGTGGCCCTCGGTCTGTTGTGTTAGGAAAGAGGACAAGTCACTGTAACCATCTACAGAGGTGATTTTGCTGTAATTAGAACAAAACTAAAAAACCAACAGGGTTTTGAGAGCTGGTTTTGAGGCTGAGATGAGCACCCCAGAACTGGAGTGGCTCTATGTGTACGTGAGGCTGCCTGCAGATAACTCAGATTTAGGTGTGTTAGTGTCAGACCGAAACCACTCAGGGCTTTTACAGGAAAACCAGTTAATTACAGCTGATCCCTGCACAAAATTCCCGTAGGCCTGAAAAGGGGAATACAGAGATGAGAGAGATATAGAGAGAGATCTGTTTTCCGGTGGGGAAAAATAAAAGAACTTCCTTCTGGGGAGAACCAGACGAGCCCAAGTAAAGGATATGATACAACACAAAAAGCAAGGACAGGTTTGGATTCGGGGAAGGGGTGCAGGTAGTCCCAAATCAAAGCTACGATTGCGAAGAGACACGAGATGGTGCAGATGAGGAGGCGGCCGTCGATCAGWCGGAAGTTCTCCACGTACTTGTACTTCTCCAGGAGAACCTGAGGGAGAAGCGGGAGACGAGCTGAGTTTGTGCTTCCAGAAACGTGATAAACTGCTAAAAGGATCGAGATGAAAGGGTCTAGGTCGCAAAGGTAATGTGAGGAGAAACTTTACACGTAATTAGGCTAAATCAGATTGTGGGGTGCTTATTACTCTAACCATGAATGCTCAGATCCAGGGGCATCACAAAAYGCATTGCAAAACCAGTAAGGACACTGGCCCTAAACACATAAAACTCCTTTTTCAGGCCTGTTCAGCTTAATAAAAACCCTAACAAGTTACTTTGGCATAAAGGATTAACATAATCCCCGTAAAATCTAAAAAAACACCCACATTAATGCAAAACTCCTTGCTGAAGAGGAGCTTGGAAACTCCTTGCTCCAAAACTCCTTGCTGCAAGCAAAGTAGCTGCTGGGTAACCCATGATGATGCAAAGAAATAAATTCTCTCCGTAATTTTTCACCAAGTTTCTTAAARGTTTCACGCACAGAGCAAAGGCTCAAATGTTTTCCAAGCAAAAGCAGATGGTTGCAGAACGTACCTTTTTGGCAGAATCATCTAGAGAGTTTTTCACAGCTGAACCGTCCCATTTGTCAATTTTTACTGGCTTGTCATCAATCTTCCACTGCAAGAGAAACCGAAAATAGAGAGATGCCAAAGAATTGGGCATTTCATTGTAAATACCTTTATTCCTGCAGTGAACGCAAAGAGATGAGGAGATTTGGAAAAATACCTACAGAAGAGCTTCACTGCATGAAAAAATGGCCAAAGATTAAGGGAATCCAGTGTCTGTTGTACAGTTATATTGCATTTAAAAATCACATACCACCTTGTAGGTTTAACTGTTAAGTCTGCTCAGCAGCACGAGGGAGGTTTGCTCAAGATATTCTGCACTTCAGTTTCATTCTTGTTTTGATTTAGTGCTTGCAAATGGAAAATAGTTTTCATTTCATCCCTGGAAAATAGGAAAATAGTYGTGCTGACCTAACCCTTCCCTTTGGGAACAGTGACAATTTGCAGGAGAGCTGCTGCAAGCGGCCTCATTGGGACTGCCCACAGTTCTTCCAAGCAGCAGTTTTTAGCAACGCAGACGTAAACGCAGAGGCTYCAACATGGAAGGAAGAGAAGTTTCAGTCATCCTTCCGCAGGAAACCAAAACCACCCTGCAGCTCTTCTACAATTCCAATTTTCACCCAACTGCTCCTCAAAAGTGGGTCCTTCCTAAGTAATAAACTGCAGATACGACTGGTCAGGTGTTTCAAGGGGTTATTCCTCCTCTGAACCACATTATTTTGTTGTGATACTGACTTTCCATTCAGCCCCAGGTGGATCTGGAAGTTGGAGCTTTCGGTGTTTTAAGCGCTCTGTTATTCCCACGTTATCTGTTAYTTTCAGAGGTCATTAGAAGCAATTCTGACCGTCGCCAGGATTGTCATTTCCTCAAGTTCTCAAGGTAGATCCAAGTGCCTGTTGGGAGAGCTCGTTTCCTTCTCTGGAAGGAATTAAACCGTTTCACAGAAAGCTGAAAAACCCAATCTGGGGGAAAAGCACTATTATCCTTGAGGATCTGCAGGTAGGAATTCCTACGGGCACAGGAGCTGCATACGCTTGCAGTAGCTATTCTATGAGGCACTAAAGAAACAGCCAAGAGCATTTAAAAATCAGAGATAACCAGAAAACAGCCTCCTATTGGTGATAATTATATTTTAGGAGGTCACTAAGCCACATTTTTACAGCCCTCAGGGTTTTTTACCCCCCTAAGGTTAATTCAAAATACCCTAGAGCTGAAAGCAAAACACTTTCCAATGAAAAAATACAGAATTCTTTCAAATAGTGATTTGCTGTATGAAAACGTTAAACTAGATTTGCTTTTAGATATAGTTCCTATTCTTTCAAAGGCTGCTACAGAAATCTTTTTGGAAAAGTAAAAGAAAAATCCAAGAAAATACTGATTTAAYGTGTTTTTTTCTGTATTTCTGAGGCTAAAACATGGCAATCTTGTTGCTCTCGGACTTGCTCCTGAGGAGAAAAACAAGAGCAGGAATCCAGAAATATGTGGGAACCTATCCGCGTTTTATGATTAAAATATTAATACCACCTTTGAAAATTGCAAGGGCCGGGTAAAGCCTTCATATTACAGAAAAGAAAACCCATTTCCTTGGATGACTAAAAGGAATTCTTGTCATCTCTGGCAAGAGAACAGGCTGCTCCTGAGGCTCGTTTGTCAAGGGATGGCTTCCATTCAAATCCCTTCCCAAAACTCCCTCGTGAGCAGTAGGGGAGGGAGAAGAAACCCTTGGATTTATCCCTGCAGGTCGAGCCCCTCAGGCTCCGGTGGTGCTGGTGGAATGTGGTTAATAATTTAGTCTTGTGCTGCTGGTGAAATAAAGCAGTGAAAGCTCCAGGAGCCCCGGAGGACGGCGGCAGCATYGGACCCCATTTACCTTCACTGGGAGGGCACTCCTAGGTGGATGGATAAAAACGTCTGGGAGAAACAATCCAACTTCCAGAAACACCAAAAGAACACGAGGAAGACAAAAGGAAACAGGATAATTGACAGCGCACCTAAACCCATCCCAATTTAGCTTGTTAGTTTAAGTACAAATAGATAGACTGGACAAGGAACTGTCCTAAGGTGTTAGAGCCACCAGCTCTGGTAATTGTCTCACCGGCTACTTCTGCTCCTTAAGCAAGGGCTAAGCACGAAGGAAACACCGTGAAAACATCCAGGAGGCTCCAGGGAAGCGGCACCGTCGGCAGTTCTGGAGGGTCGGCCCCAAAGCACTGGCTTTTCCCACCCCAAACTTCACACAGGGTGTCCCGGAGCAGCCGTCAGCAGCTTCTCCCAACCCACCTGGTTCCACAAACACAGCAGTGTCTGTGCTGGCAGATCCCACAGCACCAACCTGCACTCAGGTTGGCTTCATCTGGGACTAAACTGGATAAGAGGAGCCAAATTCCTTGAGTGTTGTGGGCTCAATGAAACGTTTATCAAGAGGGAAAAGGGTTAAGAGTCAATGTGTTTTTGTTTGTGGTCAGCTGTGTTTTAAAGGGCAGTGAATGATTCCTGATGTTGCACTTGAAGGCTGCACTCTCCTGCACGCAGAGATAGGGGAAAAATAAAAAAGGGGAAAAAATAAAAAAAAGGAAATAGGGGAAAAATAAGAAAAATAAGAAAAAAGGAAAAGGAAAGGAGAAGAAATAAAAAAGGAAAAGGAAAAAGTTAAAAAAGGAAAAATAAAAAAGGGTAAAAATAAAAAAAGAAAAAAGGCAAAGGGTAAAAAAAAGGAAAAAAGACAAAGGGGAAAAATAAAAAAAGGAAAAAAGA